AGAAGTTTTGAAAAAAGGATTGATTTGGTATCAATTACAAACCAGTTTGAATCGAGTAGAATTGATTATATCAATAGAATGACTAATTTTAAAACGAAGCTTGGAGGGAGGCTGCCATAGCAACACTGAATATTGGTGAAAGGGTCAACATAACCCACACCAAGGCCACACCTTTTAATTTGTATCTAAATGAATTGAAATCATAATTATTTTACTTAATTTTTATTGCACATTGTTACTGTGACTTATCATTTTAAATAAATATTTTGAGATTTTTTCAATCTGTTTTTTGAATTTCTTCCAAATGAAGCTACTGTTACGAAACCTAATTCCCCCGAAGACGAACACAGTTTTTTGACCTTATTATTTTTCTCAGCAGCTCTGGTTGATCCGCTGCACTTTTGCTTCTTTTTTTTTGTATCCGTGCCTCTCCAACAGCTAAGAAACACACTGACCTCCAGAGCTGTCAGCCCCAGAGACTTTGCTGTTCTTCATGCCCTGTGTTGCCAAAAAGGTTTGAGTTGTCCTCACACTGCTCATGGACCATCATGCCTGAGAAGTTGCAGTTTTCACACTGAAACATATTTGTCGTAGTGAGGGTTGGGAGGGTTACTTTGTAAATGTAATCAGTTACTGATTAATGAATACATGGCTCTGAAAGTAATCCGAATACAGTTACGCGTCTTAAAAAAGTAACGTAATCAGATTACTTTTAGATTACTTTTGGATTACTTTCTTTTTCCATCACAGATGGTATGTTTTGGTGAACAGGAGACACAAACAGCAAAAGGAAAGTGAACGTGTTTTTACTGTTTTAATGGCTTACCAAAAGCACAACTGAAACATAACATCTGAAACGATGTAACAACATAATAAACTTTTTGGGGATGCAGCTTGGGATGTGAGGAGTGAGGGACACGGCTTAGAACGGGCGTGTCGTCTTCTGTCCTGCCAGTGTTGGCAGGACATGAATTAAAATGTCGAACTCTGACTTCATTTGAAGGACATATCGACCAGGGGTTTAGAGCCATATTTGTTTAAGCACCGGATCGGCAAAACAGGAGACTCTGTGCACCAGTCTGCCTTGATCTATGAATTCATGTCCGTGACACTCACAGTATCTGCTGCCCACAGCTGTTTAATAGAAGGAAAACCTCCTTCACTTCATGAAATCTCTGCAGCACCAGAGGCCTGTACTACGAAGTTGGTTCAACCTAACCTGGATATGTTTGAGTTAGCCGGTTGGCCTAATCCAGTAGGTTCTCAAACTTTTCTGTCAT